AATGCCTCGAGAACATGGCCATATAGCCCAAAAAAACCCACAAGAACCTAGATCCAGAGAACTGTCAATAAGGTAAAGTCAAGGCAATGGCAATGTAAAATGATAATTTTGATTTAAATTGTTATCTGAAGAATGCATTTAGAAAAAAATTACAAGCAAGAATAAAGCATTTCAAATCACAGAAATGACTTAATATTTTACATGATTGCCAACCATCCAAACTAAGAGTGCAAAGTGCATTTTAACTCCTTGGGGAGCTTTATATTCTCAAATGTGTCATTACTTTATAGTTGAAGTTGTCTGCATAAGTCTATGTCACTTGATTAATCCCTAGAATACAATCCAGGGTGCAGCATTTTGTTGAAAGAATCCATTTAGCTTTTGCAATCATGTGTGACACTTTTGGGAAAGGAGGGACTAGTTAATGACAGTTAATTCCTTTAGAAAAGGAACATACCAGAGTACGAAATTAACAGAAAATACAGCAGATAACTGGATTGCAAGAGCCATGCAAACTTTTTCTATAGGCTTCTACTTGTTCCCCAGGTCCAGAAGAAAGAAAAAGATTGGAAAGCCAGGTTTGTCAATAGACTGAAAAGTGAAAGGTAGCCGGTTAAATGCCCTATGCTAAGCCTTCACAATTTGCAGTGTAATGAATTATTAAGCAAGCAGTTTGTTGGGCAATTGAATATTACCTGCAAAGCACTGCTCATCTCCTTGAGGCAAACTGAAAGCTGACAGAGTTGAACCAATTAGACTGACTGTCTCCTCATTGAGTTGTGACCTATCAGTGGTAATAGCTTATTATGATGATAAATGAACCCATCTCTCAAACCGAAGCAGGAGTACACAATTCAGCAGTTTCCTGAATCACGGGGCCATTACATCACCATTCATGATCGACAGGAGCGACAGCAACAAGAGCAGATGGCATGCATGACTAGGCACTGAAGATTGTTTTGTTTTGCCCTGCTGAATATATTTACAGTTATTTTTGGTGAAGCATTATTTTTGTTTCCCTTATAATAGGCCTGCCTGAACATTCTCCATTTGCTCTGTCAATATCCATACTCACACATACATACAAACACTATACCTATTCCATGAGACGGCTGGATTGATTTCTGATTGGTATCTAGATGTCTGCTCAATTGTCACAGTCTCAGAGGTACTTAGCAGTCGATTACTGTAGAATATCCTCTAGCCTTCCTGGAAAAGTTCCATTTAATCCAATTAGTACCTTCAACTGCACTGCCAGAGAAAATCTTTAGGAAAAGTGAATGTAAATTGTGGGTGAGTGGGTGGGAACTGAAACTACATACTTTCCCCCATTTGAACTTATACAAGTTTTTTAAACACTTAAAAATGTTCTACCTGTAAGTATAATTTACTAACAACAGATACGGCCCAAATTATCAACAACTGGATAATCATTCTGAAAGCATTTGCATCTTTTCATGCTGTCACTGGAGGAAACTGGTGAAAGAGCAAACACGTCCATCCGTCCTCCACACCTGTACATTTTCTGCAAAATGATGTGCCTATAAGCCTCATGACCAGATCTGAAATAAAAGGTGCTTCTGATGTATGTGAGGGTGATGAATCCATTCCAGATTTTAGTCAAGGTATGGAACCTATTTTGTGGATAGAGTTCATCACCCTGGAAAGCTCCTTAAAAGTTCAAATTAAAATCCAAGTAAATTCACCACTCATTGAAACTGGATCCATAAATCATCACCACTAAAAACACCTACTGCCTGCAATTTCTAAATTTCCTGATGGATATAGAACTGTTGTGTAGAACAAAATCACATTTCTTTTCCACGGCAGAAACTCATCAGAAAAGCACAGAGTCATCCATAATCACATATAATTTGCAGTAAGATAGCCATGACACAGCAATAAAATGAAGACTTCCAACACCTTTAGTTCTATTAAAGCCCCATCTATATTGACAGTATACTGATGCAAGTTACCTTGGATATTGTTTGCTTGAAATGCAGAATATGCATCATGAAAAATAAAATTTCAGTGAAAAGTTGTTAAGAGTTCAGCTGCATAATTAGGGATTGAATGTAAAGGCTTGGTATTTCTCATTGTATATGACATGGCGCCACAGAAGGTAAATGAACAGCAAGATTACAAGTTATTATATACTTGAAACCCTACTCTGTGTCACTTTGGTCAGTAAATCTCAGAAAACCACATATACAATGGATATTATTGTATTCATAGCATTGAGGAAAACCAATCTGAAAGGGCTGGCTTTATCCAATTTTAGATATTTAGAGAAGTATTTTTGAGTTTACCAATAATAACCCGTAATATTTCATTTCTATAGCAATACAGTAGATCACCTCGGCTAAGTACTACTCCACAATGGCTATAATTTACTTCATGCAACATGACATTTAAGATGTACTATGGTAATTTGTAAATGCTTTTAGTATTACTTAGTATCAAAAATTTATATGGTTTGGTTATTAAGGCAAATTGTTTCATTCACACAGAGATGTGTGACAGTAAACCATAGCCCTTCCACACAAGGGGAGGGGGTGTCTTCCATGTCAACACAAACGGAGCATATTTTTTCTACTACTTTGCTGCCTGACAGGGAATTTGGGAAGGGGGGGGGGAGGAAGGAATCCACAAATAATGTGCCATAAGCACAGATTACCTAAGGCAGCAAACAAATGCAATTTTGTTCATGCTGTATGGACTTGAGTCTCCTTAGCGATCTATAGCTCTGAACAACTTGCTCATATTATTTGGGGGGGGGGGATGCAGTTTAATCTTTACTTGCTCACTTACCTTCTGTCATACTGATTTCTAGCCAAGAGGAAAAAGCTAATCTAGAGAAACCTTGAGAAGTTATCTTGGGAAATGTTCCTGGACTTTCAAATAAACCACAAAATAACCAAGAAGATACAAGCAAAGAAAGAAAGAAAGAAAGAAAGAAAGAAAGAAGAAAGAAAGAAGAAAGAAAGAAAGAGGAGGGAGGGAGAGGAGGAGGAGGAGGGAGGGAGGAGGGAAGGAGGAAGGAAGGAAGGAAGGAAGGAAGGAAGGGAGGAAGGAAGGAAGGAAGGACTGTACATTTCTGCTTTACTAGAGTTCACGATTCTCTATATTTTAGTAGTACAGCCAATGGTATATATGTTCTAACATAGCTGCTGTTAGAAGTAAAGAGGCATCAACATTTGTAAATTGATTACTGACACAGACTATTAAGAGGATGCCTGCCCTTTTGTTTTCCCTGTTTCTTTCTTTACTTCCTGCCATCCTGAAGTTACCAATTCCTAATCTTCTGAGTAGTTCTTTGTTTCCTTTTTCCTGGAAAGAGAGCACCCACGAGGCTCCTGTTTCATAATGGCTTATACAAATTTGTGTTAATGTATGCCATAAGTAACGAGCAGAAGTACACAAGAGTTCAAAAGTCCTTAATCAACTCCCACACCTCTTGGGTTCTTCAGATGAGGTTAAAACATTATCCCATGCATTGGCAGACAATGTGAAACCTCCAGTTTTTTTGAAGAATTTTTAAACATGCGGAGCATTCTCCCTTTTTCTAGACATTAAAAAGCATATTCTGCCAATTAAAAAAAGGTTTGGACAATGTGTTAACTCTGGGCAGGGCCTGGCAATGTTTCTCTCTCTAAATATTGTTGAACAAAGAGCTTTGACCAAGCTGGCTAGGACTGATGAGAGATGGCATCTAACATTGGAAGGACTACCCCTTTCACAATAATACTCTAGAGTAGGTTTTTTTAACCTGTGGCCCACAGACAGTTATGAACAGCCTAACATAAAATCACTTACTTAAAACATTAAGAGTTTTTTTTCATAACTTGATTGTGTGGTTCTTGAGTGCAAACTTTGTAGATGTCAATGCAATGAAATAATCAAAGGATGTTAAGTCCACATATAATAGAATGCTTTCTGTAATTTGCATTATAATTGCAAACAGTTCCTCCAGAAGAAATGAAAAACTTTAAAAATCAACTAATTAAAATAAAGAACAAAAGAATTCTGATGGAATGCCATGTAAAATGAATTGTGAAAAATAATTAAAGTATGTATTCTGTACTAGGCACAGCACCACCCCATGCCATATACTCTCGCTGTTTGTACACATGTATGGCTTCAGGTTTTACGGCGGTGTGTGGCCCAAGACAATTCTTCTTTTTCCAGTAGGGCTCAGGGAAGCCAAAATATTGGACACCCATGCTCTATACTGAGAATAAAGATATTCCCTGAATTATGTCTTTACTCCATAGTTATTGGAGGTGGGATGAAAGAGGAATTATCTAAGTGATAGCCTAATTACCAGATGGACCAGAATGTTTCTATTTTTGAGCTGCAGTATATTACAACTATTAACTACCTACTTTTGTTTATTTTTGTTTACAACGATGACTGGAACTATAGCGTGTGTGCCTGTATACACACAAACACACACAGAGACACAATAGCAGAGGCACTGTGTTAAATATTTGGGTTTAAATAATGCTTGTAATCAGTTTAGTGACACAACCCTTCGGAAGCCACAGGGCACAATTCCCTGCACTCAAGCAGCATACATGCTTCATACAGTTTTTTTACACATCTCTTCAACATCTGATCATCTCCCCACATATGTGTACACAAAGTGAGCAAGGGGCAGCACAATATAAAGATGCAGTAAAAGAGATGAAGCTGCTTGGAAAAAAACCAACAACAACCTCATATGTTATGCACCATTTCATCCAAGAAAATGATATTGCAAATTATAATTTGCTTGCTGAACACCTGATACCAGAAGTTGCCAGGAAGCTTTGAGAGCCAGGGAACTTTACTTAGTCTACTTACCCTTTGCTTTGGGCCTCAATGGGATATTCAGTATGCCAACACAGATGCTTTCAGCAAGCAGTTTTTGTCCAAATAGTTAGTCAAATAATGAGAAATTCCATATTGTGTTATTAATAAATGAAATTAATACCCAGGTAAAGACCCTCTTCACTTACTTTGTTGCCCAAATAAGGACGAGGTGCACTCCAATAATAAATCTGTGGTAGAAAAGTCCTTGCAGCAATGTTGTTGATACTAAGCTGTTCTGCTCCATCCAATTTGTCTTGTTGAGGAGCAACTCTAGCAGCAGCAGGTAAATCTGTGAGGTACCAGCCATTCATTTCTAGAACCTATGGTAGCAAAAAAAAAAATCTGTTAATATCTGACCAATATATAAAATTTGCATTACAAGGCATATACTATTAGAGTGCCAAAGTGCTTAAAGGACCCTCTAGTCCAATTACCAGCCATGCAGAAATATACAACTACAACATGCCTGAAAGATGCCAATCCAACATCTGCTTAAAGACCTTCTTGTTCAGCTGACTTGATTTTTTGTTTTGAAATACGGATTTCTTTTCATATTAATGACTGGATATTTTTTGTAGTAAGGCTTCTCACATTTCTCTTAGTAATCTTCTCTTCTCCAAAGGACAGAAATTTCTGGATAAAAAACTTACTAGTCTTGTTATAGTGGTGTTGTTATGCTGCAAAGAAGTATTGCAGCATAATTTTGAAGGCTGCAGTCCTATACTTACTTATATGGAAGTAATCCATATCAAAATAAACATATTATATTTCTGAATAGATATTATAAGATTGTGTGATAAATCATTTTTGGAAAGCTATTGTCAACGTGAAATTGGAACTCTTCAAAGAGTTGTTATGTCTCAAGCCTTCAAAGAAGTCGCTTTTTCATATTTCAAAATTGCAATAATAACAAATCATGGATGAAAGTATTGAAGCAGCAGAACTTATTTTGTAGTGGAAACCTTGATAAAGCGTCAAGCTGTAACGGATTGCATCAAATCCATCCTTACCTTAAAATAGGCCAGTATTCAGATATGGCTGTGTTTCACTCAGAATTTTTAAAAAGGAATCCTGAAGCACCTTAGATACAAGCGAGGGAAAAAAATCACCAGCATACATTTTGATGGACTTTAGTCCATTGCATCAAATGCATGAAAAGAAACCTCTGTAGACAGACATCCATACAAGAGCAAGGATAAGCAGAAGGGACAGTAGCAGTTGCTACATTCCATGCAACTGATGAAGTGAAGTGGAGTCTATGAAAGTTTGTGCTAAACCATTTTTTTCAAATAATGTGAATCATGCTGCAATAATACTTAAAATTAGACAATATTTCTATAAGACTATGGGAATTCATACAACTGGGAAAATAGAAAATGCTGTAATCAAAAACTACTGTTTATTATTTATTTATTTATTATTTATTTCTTGCACTTATAGACCGCCACTCTCAGCCCAGGGGCGACTCGTGGCGGTGTACAACAACATAGAAAAGACAGCTTACAATAAATCAACAATACACAACGTTCTACTACTACAAACACTACTATACTAAAAATCCGCTTCGTCAAATCATAGGGTCAATCCATCTCATAATCACAGTCCATTCCGGTCGTCAATTCCAGTAACCTAGCACTCAATTGAAGGCCATCTCGAAGAGCCATGTTTTCAGGCCCTTACGAAAGGCCATAAGGCTCCTCGAAAGGCTCCTCCTTCACATTAGATTTCATGTAAGAGCCTGTATGGCATTTTCTTAGCCAGAAACTGCAAGTAGAATTATTCATTTTTACACATCAATGTAAGAACAGAGAACTTCCAATGAGGTCTAGAGGGTGAGAACAAGCAAAACTGGTGCATTGAGAGCAATATATTAAGACATCACATTGTCATGAATGACTTTTCAATAACTTTGAAGCATAGGTTCTTTTTATTGCAATTTCCAGTGTGAGAGGATATAACAGATTACACAAAATATACAGACATACAGACATACAGATTCTATGCAACTACATTGGATTTATAATTACATTGGTTAACAAACAAACAAAAGGGAATTACATTTTCACTCAACATTCACACCACATGTACATGCATTTATCCTCAGGCATTCAAGTATTACCATATCATTTTCTCCCTCCTTGGAGAAGCAGCTGTTAGGTCAGACCCTTCTTTCCTGCAGCCTGTCAATGCATAGTTCCATAATGGCAAAACTTCAAAACGCCAAAATGCCAAAACTTCTTTCCCTAAGCACAATGCCATGGACCAGATCTCTGTTTTCCATACAGCAGAACCTGACTCCCTGCACAAAATCCAAGACTCCAAAAGCGCACTTCTTCCTCTTCCCTTGAGAAAGAAGCACCAAAGTGTCCAGAATCATGCTTTCCCATTGCATATCTGACACTCACAGAATACACCATCTCTCTCCTTCCCATGGAGTAGAGCATAGCGGGTGGAACAGACTCCTCAGTCTGCCACATTTTGAGCATTATTAGACTAAGTCTTTTATAGGAATATTCTGTTGATGTAGTCCCAAAGATGTAAATTAATAATAGACTTCTATCCTGGCTCCATCTCAGATGTTGATCTTCTTGATTGATGTTGATCTCATGTTGACTTCCTTCTTAACATAAGGAATGTTGCAAACATTTCCTTAACTTGAAAGAACCATTGTCACAGTTCTTATCAATTCTCATTAGCAGGTTTTGATCACAGTTCCAGCAAGCAGGTAGTTAGTCATTAATATTATACTGATGTTTTCAAAATTATTAACTCCAACCACACATCCTTCCATTCATTCCCACACATCATATTAAATTCATATTTGTCAAATCTACACATTGAATTTCTTGTGACAACATTTCACATCTTCACTGCCATAAAATGCAGTTTCATAATGCGGTTTAACTGCACTGAACTGCATTATATGGGTCTACATTTCCAAGCTGCAATATGAAACTGCATTATATGGCTGCATAAGGGCCCTATATATACAGCCATATAACTCAAAAATATCAAGACAGAAAATCCTACAATATCTGCTTTGAACTGGGATATCTGAGTCCACAGTGCCATGTATTCCAGTTCAAAGCAGAAAATGTGGGATTTTATTCAGCTGTGTGTAAGGGATACATCTGCACCTTCAGCTTCTTGTTTTGATTTCTTAAGAACTCTTGCTCAAAGGGACCAAAAAACAAAAAACAAAACAAAACACCAAAAACATTTTCCCTTCCTTGATATCTCTGAGATAGCAAGGGGGAAAATAATCTAATACCACTTTATCCTATCTCTACACTCGGTTGACAGTGGGAGAGTCTACAATGAATAGAGGCAGGTTGACAAAAAAAATAATTTAGAGAATGTAAAAAGAAGAAATAAAGGTCAGGGTGGGGATAGGGAGAAGGATTTAGCTGGCTGGAACTGAGCAATGGCAATTCCCCATTGTCACCACCCAGATTGTTCCAACTCCACCCATCAGAACAGAACTCTCTCCACTCAAATACAGAGAGAGCTTTTAAAAGAGAAGAGAAGAACATCAAAATGGGAAGACTATTCCCACTATAAAATGTACCAACTTCTTTTTGTATTGAAGGTTTACCCTTCTGAAAGAAGTACTGCCCTTATCAAATGAGACTACAATACATATCTTTTTAAAAACAACGCATTTCCCATTATTAGATTCTTATGAGCCAATTAAAATGTTTTATTTTTGTTTTCCAAAATCATAATGCAGAAAGTTTCCATCCAATTTCAAAGATTCCCCCCCAGAAAGTTCAAATGTGGAAAGTTTTGTGCTTCCCTTCAAATTTAGAAATACAATTGGCAAATATCTCACAAGGTCTCATCTATGGAAGGAGTTTATTTAGCGCACCATATGTTGTGCACCCTGCTGTCGAGAACTCTGCAGTCTTCTTCAGCACAAAAGAATAAAGTCAGAGTTCAGCAGACTATCAGATTCAGGTCCAACTGTTTAACAGTCCCTTCTTGGTTTTTGTACAAAATCTTTCTCATGGAGAGAAAACATCACTTCAGTTGCATCAAGTTTAAAAGAAACATGTGGGTGGTAGAGAAACCCTGCCCGGGTAAACCTCTAACATTATGGATTTCAAATGAAAATGGAAAATACAAGGTAAGATCCATTTTTGTATACTTGTATGTTTGCATACTGAATGGATTTGATGCAACCAGAGTTGTCAAAATGCTTCTTTTGTGATCCGAAAGAGATCCTGCTTATAGGGTTGACCTAGCATGTATTTTGGGCGCCCCCAGTGGTGCAATGGGTTAAACCACTGAGCTGCTGAATTTACTGACCGAAAGGTCAGCAGTTCAAATCCAGGGAGTGGGATGAGCTCCCACTGTTAACCCCAGTTTCTGCCAACCTAGCAGTTTGAAAACATGCAAATGCGAATAGATGAATAGATACCGGTTTGGCAGGAAGGTAATGGCGCTCCATGCAGTCATGCCAGCCACATGACCTAGGAGGTGAATATGGACAACGCTGGCTCTTTGGCTTAAAAATGGAGATGAGCACCACCTTCCAGAGTAGGACACAACTAGACTTAATGTCAAGGGGAAACTTATTTTACTTTAGCAGATATTTCGGTTTAAATGCATACAAAATGTAGTTTAAAACTAATCTGAACTGAAATAATATGCCCAAGTCCAAATGAATAATTTTCAAGCAATTGAAATTACTGGAGTGTACTTTGGGAGAAGCTGAATAAAGCCACTCCACCCCACCTCAGTTCACTATATTCTGCATCAAAACCCATACTTGGTTTAGTTAACAGACATCACCTGGCCATCAAAAGTAGATGGACTCATGTCAATGACCAGGCAGTTAAACATAGAAAACTGAAGATTAACTACAGTGGCCACAGAGACTATAGCTAACACCCCTAATTCTGTAACAAGTACTCTTAAAATAATGTGTTCTTGCTGGATTTTTTTTTTTAAAAAAACAAAATAATTAGAAGAGGAAGTAATGTTGTTAAAGTCATCAACAATTTTGATGTAGTCACAATTTTACAGAGCTTGTGAAAATTACTTTCTGGGACCAAGCTTCCAGAATCCATTCTGTTTATGCTGTCTGAGAAATTATGGGAATTATAGTACAGCATTATTTTTGAAGTTATGCAATTCTACTTGCTTCCAAGGCATCAGCACAACTTTTGGAAACTACCCCTGAAATATCTACTTCTCTAGAACATTTGTAGGCCAATCCATTATTTTCAAAAGAAGTGTGCTAGAACCAGCAATCGTGTTAATCATTTCATGATGCTTAGCAGGGAAACTACTGGTACATGGCATACGGATGACTCACTATGATCTCCAGTGAAAATGACAAGAGAAGTGTGGAAGATGCAAAATCCCTATTCAGTCACAAAGAAAACTGAATATTACAGAAAAAATGATTATGCAATCTGTTATGCTTCTTCCTATGTGTTTTTTCCCCCATCCAAGTTCTTTTTATTAAGTTTATGAAGAAATGTAAGAGATTTGGAAACTTCTTATCAATACAGAATTAACAAAATTCCAAGCTATTTCACTGGTCACATGCAATAAATACAGCTGTTCTGTACTGAAGAAAATTGTAGCTAACTGCTAAATAGCTGTTAAATATGATGGGAATTTAAGAGACAACGCCAATTCAGTACCACAAATATTGTTGAATATATATTGGGATTAAGTTCTTCCTGAAGCCCTTTCCCCTTAGCCACCCACAAATCTGCCGTGAAGGACCAAATGGTCCTCTAGAACTAATTTAAATGTGTCACAGGGGATTAAGAGGAAGATAGGATGCACAAGTCCCATTGTGCAAATGGGACTCCACTCTTGCATTGTTGGATGCAATGTAGGCAATATACAGGTAGAGACAGATAGACAGGGCAGATAGATAAACAGCATAATAGATAGAGGGACAAAAATTAGACAAAATTTCTTGAATGATTCAGCTTGTATTTTTTACTCACCCATGGAATAGGGAACATGTAAAGTTTATAAAATCTGCCTTTTACACATGAAGCATCTTTTTAAAAATTCTTGAATAACAAAGCCTTTGAAAGTACAAAGTTTAAAGAAATCTAAAGATAATTTTCTTTCTAGTAGGATATATACATTTATTTTTGTTTTCCTTACATTGCTGTAGGTCCAGTGGGAGCTCACACAGTCATTTGTTATACCAGAGCAGAAACATTCCTCACAGCCTTTGGGGTTGTCTTGTTGCAAGTTAAAGAAACCAGGTTTACAGCGGCTGCAGTTCTCTCCTTCAACATTTTCCTGGAAATGAACAGTACAAGTTTAGTTTTGAATAATATTACTTCTAAACCCATCTGCCTTTTGGAGTTTTTGGTGCTTTGCTATAACTTAATAGGAAAAATGTAAAGAAATATGAGGAGTCGACATAGGGCACCAAGCTGCTTTCATGGTCATCCATGATTGTCCTATCCATCACTTTTCAACAGCTAGTACTTATGCTGACTGGGCTAAATTGTACCTATACTGTAATTTAATATTAAGACAAAGCTATACATACCTGGTTCAGCTCACATAGATTGGATTAACTACTGTGCGAAAATTCATGCAATACAATGTTAGGAAACCTGTTTCCCACAGATGTTTTGGATAACAGCTTCCATAATTCCTGATCATTGGCCATGCTGGATGGACTTTTGGATTTGTAGAGCAAAACAACTGAAATTTATCTGGTTTTTCCATCCAAATGCATTTTTCTTCAATGACATTACTAACAGTTTCCTTATTTTTCTTATTCTCAAATCTAGGGATTTACTCCATAGTTAAAGTCCAGTGAGGAAGGACCGAGGAAGGAGTACCTTTTCATCTTCCTATTATATATGCAGGTGACTGGAAATCTAGATCAAGATTCCTGTATTTGCAATGTGTATTGTCAAAAAATTGGCAATCTGTTTATTACTGAGCAGAAGCCATTTTCTCTGTTTATTAATCATCATCCTGAAGGTTTCTACTGTGATTAAAACCAGAATCCAAATGCCATACCACTATTTTACTATAAAGAAAACAGTCTCTAAGAGTGGATGAAATGCTGGACAGTCTCTGGTATGGTTTGCACATAGTTACATCCCAAATTAAGTAGTAATTTGAAATTTGCATCTATCTATCTATCTATCTATCTATCTATCTATCTATCTATCTATCTATCATCTATCTATCATCTATCTATCTATCTATCTATCTATCTATCTATCTATCTATCTATCTATCTATCTATCATCTCCCTGTTTATCTCTCTCATACACATCCACCTCAAATTTCACATTTGCGAGAATTATTTTCAAAAAGACATTCCTCCAAAAACTCGATATACATTATGTCTTTCTTGGCCACAGGAATGTATGCCACGGACAGATGGACACACATAACTGACTGCCAGTGAACAAATACTGAATATTCCATGGAAATGAAGGATATCATTGTGACCTCTGCAATGCTTAACTGATCCACATCTAATGAGAGTCACTCACAACCTTATAGCTAAAGATACTGCAGACTTGTGAAGAACAAAGACAAAAACAAGTCTTGAAATTATGAGATAAACCATTTGAAAAAGAAAAAAGGAGGAGGGGGGAACTGAAAAAACTGTAGATAAAATGAGACAATATGGGGGCAGATGTTAAATACAGATTATTGTAAATCCACTAATCCTATATCCATAAAACCTGTTTCATCTCTCTCTCTTTTTTTTTAAACAAAAGTACCAGTAAGCATCATTATCTCCTTTTCATATTGGTTTTTCATACCCAGCATCTAAGAAATAATTAAGACTCCTGGGGCAGAGAGTTACGCTGCAATAAGTGAAAATATACATCTCACAAAGTGAAGTATAACTCTAATGTCCATCCTAATATTCATGGGTAAACATTTCAGAAGTCATTTGGCTGAGGTTTTAAAGTTTGATTGCTTTGATTAGAATATATTCTGGTGATGTTGTTCTGTGGACAGGAGAAGAAATGAAGCTTACATGGTAAGTTGTTTTCACTTGCTCGCGCATACACACAAACTGCTTGAATCTATATTATGGACAGATGATTAAGAAATAAAAGCCAGCATGGTGTAGTGGTCTGAGTCTTAGAATGAAACTTTATGACATCAGGGTTTGAATTTCCACTCAGCCATAGAAAACTATTCTCTCATCCTTAGACAGTAATGGCAAATCTCCTCTGAATAAACACTTCCAAGAAAACCCTATGATAGGGTTTATCAGTCAGAGTCAATTTGAAGGCACATAACAACAACAAAAAAACAATGATTAACTAATAACGAATGGAAAACAAAAATATCCTACAAATTAAAGAATATAGGAATGTAAGTATGGGGAGAGAGGAAGATAAAAGCATTATCCCCCAAATGACTTCTCCCCCTGCCCAAAGAAATTTTCATTCAGTCCCTAGTTTCTAGCAGTGGAGTAACTTACAAATGCAGTTAATCTTTTAGAAAAACAATTTAGACTTTCAGCTCTGTTATGTATTTTAATGGAGAGGAAGGGTCAATTCAGACAAGTATAAATGTATCTATGATGTCCAATATATGATAGGAAAGTTGGATCATGTCCACCTATTTTTCTCTCTGGCTATTTATGTCCAACTTCAGAGTTCAGGGGTTGTGAAAATGCTGAGGTCCACAGTACTGGAATAGGACTACATACATACAGATTTCCAAATCATTTAATAAATTCTCAACATCAGAGAAGTAACAAGCATATGTGTTATGTATTACACACTTCCTAACTACTAAGACTTTAAGACAATCCCTACCTGTCTGGAAGGCCCCTAGTCATCATATATAATACTCATTCTGCTAGTGGTATTTAGAGTCTACTGAGTTCAGTGGGTTTCTGGCTTAAGAATAATATGGAAGAGACAAATCTTCATATCTGGTAAGGTGAAAGATATTTTTACATTGGTATTTTTTCTTCTATGTTGCTAATGAACAGTTTGATCTAGATTTACTTTATGCCTGCACTTTTTGATTTTCCTGTGTATGTGTGTTACAGACATTGAGATTGATTTTGTGCAGTTCACTTCATGGATATTATAAAATGTTTGAAGCATTGCATAAACTTCTGCAGATCCACTGGTCTTTTGGAGTTAAAACCAGTGGTAAGTAGTAAAATGAAGAGGTTGTGCCAATAATGTGGCTTCAGTACACTGTTGGAGTGCAACTAAAATTTGCTGGTGGGATCTGGAAATGTGAAGAGGCTAAAAAGTTGGAGACTAGAAGAAAGGTTGTAAAAAGCCTGTATGGAGCTGTAGAGCACTGTAAGAGGATAATGGAGAAATAAAAGATAAAATGGGTGCACCAAGTAAAGATACTAAGGACTCTAGCTCTGTCCATCAGAGACTGAGGGATATAAAAAGTCCATTTGCCCATTGGAGCCTTTCAGACCAAGCCTCTTGTAATTGCTTAAATTTCTCACAGACCTGTTCAAAGTCAGAAAGACTCTGCTGACTACTGAAGCATGGTATTGCTTATATATTACACAGAAGGATCTGTCAGTGGATGACTAAGTCATCTGGGTAGAGTACAAAGATACAAATAGATGACAACCTAACCTTTGAATCTGCGTGTACTCCAATTTGTGTCATATTAGTGTGTTTTATGTAAAAAGGGAGGAAGGGGAAGAAAGGAGTCTTGTGGCTCCTTTAAGACTAATTGAGATATTTTAGCATGAGCTTTCATGGAGAATTAGATTGAAGTAGATCAAAGTTCCAGTCACAAACTGATTGTCTCAAGTCTACCCAAAAGATTCCTTTCTTCCCTCTATCTATGTCTTTATACAATTAAATAATTTCCTTGCTTCTTTTTATTGCTTCTCCACAAAAATATCAGCAAGATGCAATATGATTTTCAAGACTGCTGGTCAAATATAGTTTCACAGCTGAATAGTTAGGCTATGTAATCTCTAGTTAACTCTACATAACAGAAAATAGTTTAGAATTTACCCAGCATCTATATACCTTTACCAAAACTAAGTTTCATTGAACTTAGTGTAGCTTACATTTAAGTAGACAGGGGATTAAACTGCAGATCTGCTAGTTTGGGAATTTTTTAAAAAAAGAAATCTGATAGGAAGCAATTTTGGTTCTCAAAAAGAAAGAGCATTTCAGTATTCTGCATGTGCCAAGTTGAGAAAAGGTTAATATCTTAAGCAGATTTCAAAGCTGATCAGATGTCACTGTGGCACTTTATTCATCGCTTGCAATAAGGCCTAGTGGAGTGACATTTTCTTTAAGGCTCCTGATCCCATGAAGAAATCCGGCTTGTGTCAGTACCTCCTAATTAATACTGAAGAAAAGTCCCACAGAGAAAGGTTGAGTCTCTTATGTGTCTCAGAATCATCACAAAAAGATCTCTTTATAAATCTGCAATTTATAAAGAACCTGACTCTCCAGGAACAACAGTGGAAGTCAGATGTAATGCAAAATTAAAATGATATGTGGACTCTATTCCTGAACAGTTTGCATGAAGATTAAACTTTATGGGAATAACTTGCACACTATTTGGAAGTAAGTGCAAGTTATTCCCATAAAGTTTAATCTTCGTGAAAACTGTTCAGGAATAGAGTAACAAGATGTTTTTATTGTAATAACTCCACCTCATATTAATATTCTGAAAAAATATCTATCTATCTGTCTGTCTGTCTGTCTGTCTGTCTGTCTGTCTGTCTGTCTGTCTGTCTATCTATCTATCTATCTATCTATCTATCTATCTATCTATCTATCTATCTATCTATCTATGTCTTCAGATTGTTCCCTATGTCAGTGCTCCTTTATATATGTAGTATTGCTGTTGTACGGAATGGGATTTTTTCTCATCCTGCAGTGGCAAGATTTGGAATTTCAGAACCATGTTAGTAAGGCCAATCATTCTTTCCATTCAATTATCACATGCATTGTTGTCAAGGCACAGTCTAGTGCAGTGGTTCTCAGCCTTCCTAATGCTGCAACCCCTTAATACAGCTCCTCATATTTTGGTGACCCCAACTATAAAATTATTTTCATTGCTACTTCATAACTGTAATTTTGCTACTGTTATGAATCATAATGTAAATATATGATATGCAGGATGGATTTTCATTCACTGGAACAAATTTGGCATAAATACCAAATATGTCCAAATTTGAATACTGGTGGGGTTGCGGGGGGTTTGATTTTGTCATTTGGGAGTTGTAGTTGCTAGAATTTATAGTTAACTTACAATCAACGAGCATTCTGAACTCCACCAATGATGGAATTGAACAAACTTGGTACACAGAACTCCCATGACCAACAAAAAATACTGGAAGGGTTTGGTGGGAATTGACCTTGAGTTTTGGCATTGTAGTGTACTGTAGAGCACTGGGGACTCAAACAATGATGGATCTGGAACATACTTGGCACGAATATTTAATATGCCCAAATGTGAACTCTGGGAGTTGCAGTTGTTGGGATTTGGGGAGTTGTAGTTGCTGGGATTTACAGAGCTGTAGTTGGGACTTGTAGTTGCTGGGATTTACAGTTCACCTACAATCAAAGCATTCTGAAGCCCACCAATGATAGAATTGGACCAAACTTCCCACACAAAACTCCTATGACCAACAGAAAATACTGTGTTTTCTGACGGTCTTTGGTGATCTCTCTTGACACTCCCTTCATGACTCCACCAGGGGTCCCAATCCCTAGCTTGAGAAACACTAATCTAGTGGGAATGACTTATGCATTTGACCACAGACCTGCAGTTCTGGGCTTTTCAACACTGTAAAGTAGCACATGAAAAGAAGATTTCCCTGAGTCTGTATTGTGACTGCAAGCTCTTAGAGGCTGATGACTTACCAAATCTGGTCTTTGTACAGTGCCACATATATGCATGAAAATACAGAAAGAAAGAAAGAAAGAAAGAAAGAAAGAAAGAAAGAAAGAGGGAGGGAGGGAGGAAGGGAGGGAGGGAGGGAGGGAGGGAGGGAGGAAAGAAGAAAATGTGATTCATTCCACACTGTTGAGGTAGCTTAAAGAGTTACTAGTTTATTCAGCCTCAACTGAGGGTTGTTTTAAAAACCTCACCAAAGAGCCTTGCCTGCTGCTCTCAAAACTTGAGTGTTTCTTAATAGGAGAATGTGGACACTGTTATTATTGTTCCAGCTGCTTAGACAACAAGGGCATGATCTCAATTCATATGACACCTGCCTCCCTACAAAATGTTATGCAACCTTTCTCAAAGGAGAGCTCTGCAAAAGACTGAAAACTGTGGGCAGGAAGAGGCACTTTGTGGGAAGCAAAAATATTTGTCCTTCCATTTTGGCTCACTGCAGGTAAAATAGACAAATCCAAACAAAATAAATATGTGTTGTATGTGATAATAAATGTTTTTTCTCTTTCTCTTCTTAGGTAACTAATAATTTTACTTCTTGTTCTGTAAAAAGTTATTCTGCAAGCACTTGAGAGACCTAATGGAATAATTGGAAACAATGTTTTTAGAATCCTGGATATTGTCTGTTTTATGTCAATACACTGTTCAAATATCAATTTAACTGGTGGGGAGTCCTAATAACTATTCAAGATTAAAAGATCAAATTCACATCAGGCTTACTTCAAGAGAGGAGGCCAGGATTGCTTGACACTTCAGCACTACGATGCTACTTACAACAGAGAAAACGGAGGGAGAGAAAGATTTTCATCTTAGTATAGAGGAGAAGTTGAAGTTCACAAAAAAGAAACAGCAATCCATACCTTGCACCTGCAGGGCCCTTGGCAAGGGTCATCGTTTAAGCTGCCTTTGAGGGAGCAGTTGCAGGGCGCACAGTGAGGGAAGCCTTTGTATCCCAAGGCACATCGATTGCACCTCTCCCCTCCAAAGCCAGGCTTACAGTGACAAAATCCAGGGAGTAGGTCTGCAGAAAGATAAGGCAAGCATCCAGCTTAGCTAGGTACTCAGTCATAATAACGAAGCAAACATTTAAACAGAAGAGCTTGCAGGGGAAAGCGGATTATCAAAAAGTAACCATTCACCAGTAAAACCAGTGGGAGTGAGAAGTCCACCCCTCCCTTTTCACCTTTGATACTGAAGCAAATCTAACAAGATGTGAATTTCAATAACTTGAAGTCCAAAGAGTTGAATTTAAAGCACTTGGCAGCAGAATGTTTACTTCAAATATTTATAATCAAAAGCAATTAAAGAATTAACTTTCTAGAAACATATCAAACAACTGAGTAACTGAAAAAAACCCAATCTAAAACTATTCAGGCAAACATATTTAAATAGCATTAAGCCTCAAAGTCTTTTTTAAAAGATCTTCTGGGGAACCCTGGTCTCGATCCCACCACCTTCGCAGGTACAAGTGGTGGGGATGAGATACAGTGCCTTCTCAGTGGTGGCTCCTCAGCTGTGGAACTCCCTCCCTAGTGGGATTCGATCAGTCCCTTTTCTCCTGTCATTTGATAAACAAGTGAAAACTTGGCTTTGGGAGCAAGCATTTGGCCCAGCATAATTATCTGTGCAATACAGTTGGAATTGACCCTGGATTGATGAATATGATTATTTGACTATCTGGATTCGGATCGATGCACAATAGTCATCTAATGTTTACATATATTGTTTTATTGTTGTTTTAAATTGTTGTTTAATTCCTTTTCATTGTTATTGTTGTTTGGCCATAGAATAATGCTAATTATGTAAGCCACCCTGAGTCCCCTTTGGGGTGAGAAGGATAAGATATAAATGTCGTAAATAAATAAATAAAGTATAAAACCTGTAGGCGTGTACATGGAACACTTGTATCCAAGTCCCAAAGTAGCCATAGGGTCTTGTTCTTCAGTATTATAATTATTTCTACAGCTCACTTTTTCTTCTACTACCATACTAAATGCATGCAAACAATACTGGTTTTATTAACAGAAAAATACAGACCTAAAACCAAGTTTTAGTTTCAATCAATATGGGCCCATTAAACCAATGGAACATACAGAAGTTCTCATTGGTTCACTGGATCTGCTCTAGTAGGGAAAAACAGTAAGATTTAAGCCATACCTCGTACTACAATTGGGTAGAAACAATAACTGGAACAGCACTAGAAACCTGAGCACTTAGAAGGAATGTAAGAGACACTAATGATGCAGGAAGCATAAAACTAAAGTCATCCCAGGAGACCTGATTAAGTCTTCGAAAAGTGGATGAGGGCCCAATGGAAGCATATACCGGTTTTTGTACAAGGTGATATATCTAACTTCACATGTCTTTAGAAAACCACTTAAGTCTCCACTGTATGCTGTTTTTCCTTTCCCTTTGCTAATTCCCTTCTTGTTCCATTCTATACATTTTTCTTGCTTTTCTTTCTCTCATTTCCCCCTATTCTCCCCAAACTGTTATACTCATTAATCTTCCCTCTTCTTACACATTTTACTTGGTATAGGCTATAAGAAGCCTTTTCTCTCTTTTCTTCTGCTCCCACACTTTGCCTTCTTTCCTTTCCTTATCCTCATTTTCCACTTTTTCTCCACAAACCAGGCAGCAGAGATCAGCCCTATCCTTTTTGAATTTTGAAGGATTCTTGGCACTTCAGAAGGAAGCAGAACATGGAAAAGTATAGAATAGTGGTTGTCAAACTGTGAGGCACAGCCCCCATTGGTGACAGGACAGCTCCCTGGGGAAAGGGCGAGAAAAATCAGTCTGCAAGTACAGTAACTATTGTGGTGGGGTTGGGGGGAGGTTGATCTTGTGTATGTGTGTATGCATGCACCATCAAGGATTGAGTAATCTGCCAAAGAGAAGTACTAAGTATCTTCTCCAGTATAGCTCCTCCAACATCAGATGTAACAAAAGTTAGCATCCCTTTTTTAATGCATTTCTTGCTCAACTTCTCCAAATTGGCACAGCAGGCACATGCCCTTTCTTGGAGGGAGGCTGAAGTAAAGAAAGCAGCATGAAATCTCAGTGCTAAAATGTAGTTATGACATTACACACAGAGCCCTTGGGGTTCCGCAGGTGATAGTGAAGGGCTCCATGGCACTGTGCTGCTTCCCACCTCCTCCTCTCTACAACTCCCAGAAATCCCAGCCAGTTTACCAGCTGTTAGGATTTCTGGGAGTTGTAGGCCAAAAACATCTGGGGACCCCAGGTTGAGAACCACTGACTTAGAGGGTACTTTGATTGTGTTTTTCCTCTATGGCAGAAGGGTGTTAGACTGGATGTCCTCTGGGGTTTCTGCTATTATTGCTATTATTATTATTATTATTATTATTATTATTATTATTATTATTATTATTAAGGTTGGATGACCATCAGTTGTTAGTGCTTTGATTTTGTTTTTCTGCAAACCAGAAGGAGGTTAAATTGGATGGCCTCTGGAGTTTCTGCTGTTGTTTTTGTTGTTGTTACAAAGGCTGGATGGTCATTTGTTGATGTGCTTTGATTGTGTTTTTCCTGCATGGCAGAAGGGAGTTAAGCTGGATGTCCTTGGGGATCGTTCACTGAAATACTGTTAAGTTTATGTTAACAATATTTTTATAAATATACTAAGTCCAGTGGGGAATGAATGTAATATCCATATGTGGATGTAAAGAAGGTCATAGGGGAAAAAGTCTGAGAACTACTGGTTTAAAGCAGTTTTCTGAACACTCAATCCATCAGTCTTTTGGTTTTCAATTTTCAAACTTCCTGATCATTGGCCAAGCTGGCTGGTGCTACTGGGAGTAGAGGTGTAAACACCTGAAAGAACTACAGTTAGGAACCAGTGGTCTAGAGTCTTTATGAAAAGAAAAATTCCCTAGGCTGGAATCCCTATTTGTCTCTTGGGTATATTAAGATTAGGTTGGGAACTGCAAGCTACTAATATATTTTAACTAACTAAAATTCATTAATCAATTTTTAAAGTTATTAATCCACCACTTCCAGAAATATCTTATTATTTGTGACTAGTTTTGGATGGGTAGGTTTCATGATTCTTGAGACAAGCATCATACCTTCTCTTTTCTTAGTATAAAAATAAAGATTATTACTTCTGAATACTGAAAAATCAGGAAAAACAGATATATTTTTGTGTAACACACACATTTGTGAAAGAACTGTGGAGGTTTTTTTTCTTTAAAGCAACTTAGTGTGTGATAAACTGAATGCTGAATTTTGTGTATAGTTTGAAAAAAAATTGAAGCTGTTTTACAGGAAGGGATACATATAAGCATTGTTTTCATAGAATGAAAAGCATATAATGATGCTAGTTCTGGATATTCAGCCAGATAAGATAAAATAAGGTAAACACTGAGAACTAGCTGAGAAAGAAAAAAACCCTAAAAAGTGTGTTTAATTGGTACAATAGTCCTTAATTATGCTGATCACCTGAGAGCAGGTAGCCAAAATAATGGTGACTAGTTTGTGCTGGTCACAGATCATAATAAAGTTTTGTTGTTGGTGGTGGCGATTAGTTAATGATGTGCTTCTGATTGATGGCATGTTGAAAGGCCAATAAAATCTTATTACCAATTGGAAGATGGGTTACCTTGAACAAATGGACTATTACAAGTCTTGTCAAATTGACTGGGGATAACAGACCAATTAAAGTTTTATTTGATTGCTGCTGATGTTAGCTCTCCAGATTATAGTACAATACTTCAATTGGATAGAAAGTGTTAACAATCTGGCTGTGAACTTTAGAAACTAAAAGAAAAAATCATAGTTCATGGCTGGTTCTTAAGACCATGCCAAAGACCAGAAGTGGACACTAGGGGTGTGCTATTCGGTAAAACCCCATTCTGTTTTCATTATCTGGATTTTGGTGGACCCCCAGATCTGTTTTCAGGAGCCTCCCAAATTCAGTTGGGGGGGGGGGTATGTTTTTCGATCTGGCAAGTGAAAGATCCAGGAAGATTTGGCTCCCCTTTCCCCATAATTTTAGGGCATCCATCTTAAGAAACCCCCCTTTCTGGGATCCTTTTTTCTTATATCCTTCAATAAGACCTGTGGCTCTTTCACACAGCTCTATATCCCAGAATATCAAGGCAGAAAATCCCACAGCATCTGCTTTGAACTGGGTTATCTGTGTCCTCACTCAGATAATGTGGGATTTTCTGCCTTGATATTCTGGGATATAGAGCTGTGTGGAAGGGCCCCTGGATTAAAGACCTCAGATTTCAGAAACCACCCTTTCTGTGATAGTTTCTCCTTAAATCCTTCAATAAGATCTGGATTAAAGGCATACATTGCCTCCTCATTATATGGTAGCTTTCAAAATATCAAGATAGCTCTTCCCCACATTCAAAGCTTACTTTGTGTGAAGGGCACCATTGGTGGCAGTTTCTTAAGAGTATAGAAAGTAAACTGCTTATTTATTGCTATTTGATTAAAAAAGCAAGCCAAGCAATATAAGAGTTGTAACCAGAACTGGGAATTTAGATCACCAATCTGTCTCTCAGAAGCCTGATCACAACAGAAAAATGGAAGCCCAGCCTGGCTAAAAGACACTTGCAGCTGCTTCTCCACTGTAGCTGAAAGAAACTGAAAACAGTTATATTTGGCAGCCAAGTGGTCTTTTGTGGATAGAAAAAAATGGCAGGGGAGCCTGTGCTGTCATGGCTAGCCATAACTACCAGAGCCTATTTAAAAAACAGCGGATATGCTCTGCTACTCTGGAGAGATGAGAATTTTCACCGTTGGGACTTATTCTGTGCAAAATTTGCAAATGATTGTTTTTACAGAAAACAAATTATTCTGCATACCAAGCAGCCTTTTTTGTGTGGAAAAAAATAATTTTCTACACAGGCTGTTTCCTGTGTAGARTCATAGAATCATAGAGTTGGAAGAGACCTCATGGGCCATCCAGTCCAACCCCCTGCTGAGAAGCAGGAACGTTGCCCCTAAGGATCCGACCACTTCAACTACATTGATCAGGTCCTCCACATTTGTTAGGATGAGATCAAGAGTAGCCGGCCCCTTGTTGCCTCTTCTACCTTCTGAATCATGAAATTGTCTGCAAGGCAAGTGAGGAATTTGTTGGTCTTTGTACTCTTGGTTGAGTTTGTTTTTCAGCAAATATCWGGATAGTTGAAATCGCCCATGACTACTATATTTCTTCTTTGTGCCTGTTTGGTCAACTGTCAGAAGAAGACTTCATCAAGTTCTTCATCCTGGCTCCGAGGTCTGTAGTAGATGCCTACAATGAGATCTTTTTGAGTCCCAGTTCCCTTGATTCTTATCCAGATGCTTTCAAGCTGTAACATATAAGGCTTTTCCGCCTCCTCTCCCCTTTGTTCAGTTTCTGTGAAAGAGGTTAAGCCCTCCATGTCTACATTCCAGCGATAGGAGTCATCCCACCAGGTTTCAGTGATGCCTATGACATCATATTTGTGGTGTTGTGCTACAAGTTGGAGTTTGTCTTGTTTATTTCTCATGCTCTGTGCATTAGTGTAAAGACATGTGAGCCCTGAAATCTTCTCCTGAGCTGTCTGTGAGCAAAAATATGTTTTCCTACTTGTGTGAGATGCACCGCATTCCCTTGCCAGTAGGCAATCCTCATGGAAAAGCAGGCCATGATCACGCAAGCCAAAGTGTTCCTCCTGACACCATTTTCTAAGCCAGTTATTGACCTGTACTATTTTCTGAGCCTTGTAGATCTGTGCCTTACAACTAGGAGGAGGGATGAAAAGACCACCGGTACATTACACTGTTTTAGCTTAGTTCCAAGAGCTCGAAAATCATTTATGCCTAGCAGTATCATTGGTTTCTGCTTTTTGTACCAATAGACCAAATGCAAATGTCCAAAATTGTGAATAGTCTTTGAAAACTACTGTTTATCAGATTTTCTCAAGGCAGTAAAAAATAGGCCTAATTACTCATTGTTTTCTTTAGGTAGAAAATTAGCAAATTCCATTCTAACTTGATATGCCTTCAAGAAAGACATTCAAGAAGGGCTTTCTCTCCCTGTGTGTGTGTGTGTGTGTGTGTGTGTCTGTGGACATGCTATCTGAAATGCCAGATTTAGCTATGAAACCAACTCCTGGTCATTTTGCAAACCTGAACTTCTTGTAAAGATGCTGTAGCAATTATAGTACTATATTTTTGTTAACAGTTCTGCAACAGCAGGCAATTATGTTAGCACAGCAAGAACTTCTGTAATATGACCACAAAATATATTGTTGACATTATAGCTGTATCTAATAATCATGTGCCAAAAGGACAGTATGTGCAGGCTTTACATTTGGAGAGAATCACTCATTATCATCCTTTCCCATTATACTCTGGGATTAAAGTATTATTATTATTATTATTATTGCTTTGGTTGACAAGGCATCTAAAAAGAAGTTTTTCATTTTATTCAAAATAAACATTTTTCTAGACAGAAAAGAGTCAGCACCAACAAAATCAATTTCAAAATACCTAATGTTCATTCATACTGATTTGCAAATATATAGAGAAAAGCCTTTGGAAAAATAAATGCATTTTTCAGCCTTTCCTTCAAATAAGCATCAGCTTTTTTTCAGCTTGCATAGACTGAAGAAAATTGTCTTTCCTTTTCTCTCTCTTCTGATATACCCTGCATGGACAACAAGCATTTTGCCTGACTTTACAGAAATTGGTTGTATAGAGTGGTTCATTAATGGGCTCACTAGATAAATAGCACTTCACCTCCCTTCCTTCTTTCTTGCAATTTCTTACCATTAATCTCACATCAGGTTTAGCATGTTGTTGTTTTTGTTGTTGTTGTGTGCCTCCAAGTTGTTTCTGAGTTATAGCAACCCTAAGGGGAACCTATAACAGGGGCTTCTTGATACAATTTGTTCAGAGGGGTTTTAAATTTTCCTTCCTCTTAGGAGACAAGTGTGTGATTTGTCAAGGTCAGCTATAAGATTTCCATGGCACAGCAAAGATTTGAACTTTAGTCTCCAGTGCCATAATCCAGCACTCAAGCACCTGAGGTTTGACTTGCAGTGGAAAAAGTCTAAGGACACATTTACTTGTATCCCAAAATCTGAGGCCAGTCTAGAGTAGCATTATTTCATACTTGCCTCAGTGGCACCTACACTAACCTTATCTATCCTGCCATATTGGCAGGGTAGAGTCTCCTTGTCATTTCTGTTAGGTGGTTGTGGAGATCCGAGATAGCTATTGCCATCACCAGGCACATTTGCTGACATCAACAAAGGTGCCCACACAACCAGGGAGCCAGGGGCAATCTATGGGATGGGCTACATCCACCCTCTTTTCCCTGCATGGCCAACCTCAGGGAAAAGGGGGGGGGGGTGTAAGCCCATGTGGTTATATGGTTTGGATTAGAGTCAATATATCTGTCCATGCTCACCTTTAAATGCCCTGGAGTTTTACTGAAACTCTAGGGCATTCTCCAACTTTACACAATGTGGGATACTACAGGGTTCACCTGTGTTGTGGATAGGGAATTTCCCGAGATTGTTTAGATTCCCAGGAGTAACTGTTCTAAATCAAGATTTTGGGCCAGTGCAAACAAGCCCTAAGATTTATTTTTTTTACAATGCACTTCACTGACAAAGAGAACACTTCCTCACAACATTATCATGACAGATTGTCAAATGTGAAAAGTGAATATATATGTGCCCCCTTGCCTCTGCAGGTCTCCCTTTTCAATTATCTTTATACCTTGATCATGCCCATCTTAATATTCTGGTTATTGGTTTTTGTTTTGTAATGTTTGTGTGAGTGTTAATGATGCTGTTTAGGTGAAGTGCACACACACACACACACACACACACACAAGCAACAGGAACTGTTATCCGTATTTAATATGTCCCGCAAAGTATTTGTCATGTAAGGATTGATTTAATGTTACCAACAGAAAGTTCTCAACCTGCACTAAGCTACATCCTAGATATAATATAAGCTTCTTATGTCTTAACCGATTGTAACTTTTATACTTCTAACTCTACTGTTAATAAACAGACAGGTAAATTTGACACTTTACAAAAGACCTTTTTTCTGCTTTTCCAGGGAAAATAAGAGTTGAGAGGAGAAAACTGGGGATATGAATTAGTTCTCTTTCTAAGCACTGTCTCCAGAGGAGAAATCTCCTTGCTTCTGGCAAGAGATAAAAAGTCCCTTACAAGGATACAAATGTTTGATTCAGATGTACAACTCTTTCTCTAGGAAAGAATGCAGAGTGTGCACTAGAGGAAATGGTAAATAGGTGGTCTATGTACATTTTCAACAGATTCTTGAAGAAAATATTTCAAAAAAAGCAGCAAAGAAAGCAGCAAAGAAATTAAAAGCTCAGAGGAAAGTGATTCCCAGTACACCCACTCCTGCAAATGTCAGAACATAAACAGCTAAAGAAGAACTTAAGAGACAATCATAAGGAAAGATTTAGGTCTCTAAGGAAGAGCTCTACAAGAGCACAAGAAACAGATTTAAAGAAGTCTCCTGGGAGATGGTATTTCTAAAAGGACTGGCATAGTAAGAGGTTACCAGTCATTTTAAGAATGTGGCACTTATATGTTTCACACTGTGACTGAATCAAGAATCTCACCTCCTGAAGCATGTTTTTCATCTTTGACACAAGTGCCATCTAAAGAGCCAATGGAATAACAATTACATGGACGGCATGGGTTGCGATCACCTGGTAACACCTGTGAAAGCAAAAAAAAAAAGGCTATAAGGTTGCAAACCAAATCTCTTCATAATGCATCACAACAAAACTGGGAAACACAAACACAACTGACCTACACTTTATGTAAATGCTGATCATATTCCAAAATCTAATTCTTAAGCTGTTTTCTCATTGTTGATTACAATTATATTTCTCTGCTCTAGGAAACAACGTGCCTCTACTGACAGAAAAGTGCTGTTTTGCAAATTTTGTCCTCTGTTAATTGGGAGTAAAATATTAGTTGGAGGCCCACACCCCTTCAATGAATTTTTTCATATCAACACAAAACATTTTCATATCCTTTTTTACTGAGAAAGGCAAGTACGAATTAAAATTTAACCTTAATAAAATGGCAATCAAAAGTCTGTCTATTCCACTTAATCACCTGCCACCTGTTACTGAAATGAACTTTCGATTACTGAAGACAGATTGGTGCATACTTTACCCCTTTTTGTCTGAAATACCCATCAATGCAGGTTTCACAGTTGATGCCAGCAGTGTTCTGTGTGCAGTTAATGCACACTCCACCCCCGACATATTCCCCTTGGATATTCAAACTCTGCTTTTTGTCTGCCACAGTCTGATTATAGAAACACTCTTCCGCTTTCCCATGACAATTGCAGGCTGAACAAAAAAGGAAAGGAAAGAAAATATGTTAGCAAACATCATATCCAATTTGTAGATGTGTCGAAATAACATTTTTACATTTTGTTTTATCATTTTGATACAAGTTCTGCACATATTGGAGTTGGGTGGGGGGGGATTGGATCAATTCACAGAGGGTGCTACCCCAGGTTTTTCAATTAATGAGTAAATACGGGGAAGGTATTAAAGCAATCTTCAGATATTTTCTTTTTAAATTATTCTGTTAGCAGAGTGACAATGCCCCATTTGTTTCCTAGCCAATGTCTTTTCCAGCTATTTTCAGATCAGTACAAACATGCACCATTTTTGAAATACAAAGGTCACTTGTGAAAATATTAGCTAATAGAAGGTCACTATTTATAGAAATTATGTTCAGACTACTTATTGTTAAAAAAATGTTGAACCATTATGATAAGAGGTAAAGGTTTTCTCCTGACATTAAGTCTTGTCGTGTCCGACTCTGGGGATTGGTGCTCATCTCCATTTCTAAGCCAAAGAGCCGACATTGTCCATAGACACCTCCAAGGTCATGTGGCCAGCATGACTGCATGGAGCACCGTTACCTTCCTGCTGGACCAGTATCTATTGATCTACTCACATTTGCATGTTTTCAAACTGACTGCTTTGAAATGCTGCACAATAACAATGTAATTATCAGTTGTTTATTAATATTTATTAAATGTAGTATCTGCTGTATAAATGCACAGAAAAAAAGCTTTAAAAAGGGACAACAACACATCCAGGGTTAATGATTAATAATTTTTGCTCTTTTCAGCACAAGGATGTATTTAAATCTATTCCGCTGAAATTCACAGACTTTTAAAGTATGCTATCCATCTAAAGAAAAAGTGTCTTGAAAAAGTCCAAACCCTCACACAAATTTTAATATGTATATTGAAATCAATGCAATCACTAGCTCAGATGTGTGCATTTTCTGACAAATAATATGTTTATTTACATTTTTCAGTTAGCACTTCCTCAGAGCTTACAAAGAATTTGCAGACAACCACTCATCCAGTCTGAACCGGGTATGTCATAATGAATATGTAGATCATCTCTTTGTTTCAACTACATTTTCTTCTCCAAAAATAGCATCTAAGGTTTCCATTACCATTTTCCAATTTTTGTTTAGTTACCTTCACACTCATATTTGACAAGGAAGGTCCCGGCTTGCCAAGGCTTCTGATTAAATCCAGGGCAGCACCGATCACAACTTTCTCCACATGTGTTATGCTCACATTCACAAGAAGACCGCTATTGCATTATTAAACAAAAAAGAGGTTAAAACCCCATGGCATCTAAGAACAGAACATTCTGGAATGTGAGAAAATATTACGTTTGTGTCTGTTATGTAGGATTCTGGATCAAGCTGGGATATTCACATAGACAAAGGTTGGCTGGCTTATTTGTTCTGATACACCAAAAGCTAGCAGTAACTTGAGAGAAATCTACTACCCCAGGGTGAAGGAGTGCAGGGAGAGGATTTCACCCCTACTTCATCTTTCATGACAATCCTGGTGAGGCCAGAATCAACATCCAGGATTGTGTATTGGTTGCATCAAAAAACACAATTTATATGCCCCAGCCTCTTCCCCACTACTGACAATATTTCGATGTGGCAATTGTGCCAAGCAGAAGGATATGGTATAGGGTGCATATATATTGTAGAGTTAATGCAGTTTGACACCACTTTATCTGTCAAGGCTCAGTGCCATGGAATCATGGGAGTTTAATTTGTTGAGTCTCCAGAAAGAGCTAAAGACATTATAAAAAGACAAGTCTAGTGATTCCATACCATTGAGTCAGTGTAATTAAAGTGGTGTCAAACTGCATTAATTCTACAATGTAGATACACCATAGACCTTCAATCATCCAGTCTTCTCCCCTGTGGAATATCCTGCCAACTAAAATTAGACATTTTCCTGTATATCTCCAGTTGTGGTCCTTTCTGCAGAATTTTGTTTTCAGCCAAACATTTTCAGCCTCAGTTTGTTTTCAATGATTGAATACCAGTGTAAAACTATTACTATGGAGTTTCTTAAAATTCTGCAAATAAATGCATTAGATAGGTAGGTAAGTAGATATGCAGTAAATTCTAATTAAGAAAATGAATGAATCAGCAGGAAACCACTTGCCACAAATCTTCTGGTTAGAGTTGCACCTGGTTGTATTGGGTATTGGGTTATTGGATGGCAATTGCTTCAGGCCCCATCTACACTGCCATATAATCCAATTCAAATCAGATAATCTGCATTCAGAAACCGGATTGTATGGCAATGTAGATGGGGTCTTAGTCAACTACTCTGTTTAGACTTCAAGATTATACTGTTATTTTATGAGTACTGAAGGTGAAGTTCCAGAAGGTGCACTCCAAAGGAATTTATCCTACACATAGAGTAATATCTGATGATCCCACCTTAGGCTCTCTGTATGCCATAAGCATCTATACTTGTCAGTTTCAATATTTAAGAAGGAGGATTATGCTTCCCCATTTTTAATCTTCAGGGAGATTTAAAGAATACGTACATTTGTAGCGAGATTCAGTGGACAGGCCTTTGCATGGCCATAGCAGATGCACATTCCTCCCACAGAGATATCTTTTATAGAATAGTAATACTGCAAATAAAAAAAAATTAATCAACAAAGTATTTATTACATCACAGATTACACATAGAAAATAGTTATCTATTTTCTTTTCTAATAGCAAAGGGTGGGGAAACAAAAAGATTTTAACTGAAATGAAACATATGGCAATTTCCCTCTACTAATGTTAAAGAAACATGTCAATGTATACTGCACACATCTTACCACGTCTTGCCACATTGAGAGCTCACCTTTCATCCCAAGATTATTTGTTTTCTGTGGTTTCAGAACTGGTTGGCAAGTGACTATTTGGTGAATTATCCAGATAGAGATGGCCAAAATGGCTAATTCTTTCATGTGATGTCATTCATTGTTCTCAGCTTTAAAATGATATTACACAATTTGTGGGAGGAGCCTAAATGCTCCTCTGAGAGAAAGCTCCACCATTATTTTATGCTCAAATAGTAATTCGAGCTTGCTAATAACAACAACAACAACAACAGCAACACATCACACAGTCCTAGACGCTTGGGAAGTGTTCAACTTTGTGATTTTGTGATATGAAATCCAGCATAGAGATCTCGTTTGCTGTGACATACTGTGGTTTTGTGTCAGTAAAATAATAATAATAATAATAACAACAACAACAACAACTTTATTTTTATACCCCCCTCAATCTTCCCAAAGGGACTCAGGACGGCTTACTTACGGCACAATGGGCCTGGAACAATGTAAAAAATAAACATTCAATACAATAAAAGAAAACCACAAGCATATAAAACAATTATTTAAACTTAAAACAGTGCCCAATAACCTATGGTGAGAACTGTTGTAAAACATGGCCAACCATAACCAGGAGTAGGGGAATAGGATAGGGCAAATTGTAGCTCATGAACTAGGGAATGGGATGAAAGTGCAGTGCTGTCATTAATTGTGGACCATTGGGGTTAGACATTCTCAAAGGCTTGTCCAAACATCCAAGTCTTCAATTGCAACAGACTAGGATTCTTTCTCCCACCCTGGACATCATTCCACAGGTATATATACACTCCACTTTCTTCACAGAACCTCTGAAGATCCCTCTCAGCCAAAGATGCTGGCAGAACATCAGGAGAGATTTTCTCCTGCTCCAAATACAGAAACGGGAAGGATTTTGAATGGTTTTAAGAGAATTCTTTAAGTTTGGATGCTTCCAAATGGAGGCAAACAATTCATATTTGAAATAACAGCACCCCCTTGTCAATTCCTAGTCTTTCTGGGGTGGTGTTGGGAACACAACTGCAACTTTAGGCCCCTTCTATGCTGCCAGATAAAATCCAGATTATCTGCTTTGAACCAGATTATATGGAAGTAGTTTATGATAATCCAATTTAAATCAAATAATGTAGATTATCTGATTTGATAATCTGAATTAAATAGCAGTGTAGAAAGGGCTTGGAAAACAGTTTCCATCCATTTTAGATCTGTCTCAGCTTAAGGTATCTTCCTGTGGTATATGCTAATGCAGGGGTCCACAAACTTTTTAAACAGAGGGCCAGGTAACAGTCCCTCAAACTGGTTGGAGGGCCGGATTATAATTTGAAAGAATTCCTATGCACACTGCACATATCTTATTTGTAGTGCAAAAACACTTAAAAACAATACAATAACTGAAATGAAGAACAATTTCAACAAATATAAAATTATTAGTATTTCAATGGGGAAGTGTGGGCCTGCTTTTGGCTGATGAGATAGGATTGTTGTTGTTATGTGTTTTCAAGTCGTTTCACACTTAGGTTGAGCAATCCATGCATAACTATAGAGAATGGGCCAGGTAAATGACCTTGGAGGGCCGCATCCGGCGCCCGGGCCTTAGTTTGAGGACCCCTGTGCTAATGTTTATCAAACTGCTACTCCAGGTCTTTTGGACTTCAGCTCTCAGAAATCCCAACATTTTTATCAGCTGTTTGAAATTGTGGGAGCTGAAGTCCAAACTATATGGTGGAGCACAGTTTGAGAAACTCTGATGTATGCTTTTTTTACAGCTTCTCTCCATGTCTTTATTTTCAGAAAGAAAAGAGGGAATTGATGAAAACTGCTCTCCCTATTCTTCAATAAGACCTCAACTTGATTTCAGGTCCTTCCCCAAATAAAGCAGCAAACTTGGATCAACACCAAAGTTAGACACAACCCATGCATCCTTTATAAATATTTAGTTATTCATTTGAGAAATCTTGCCAATAAGACTTCAAAGATAAGGTGGATATGATGCTTCAGAGGTTCTTATTCCCTAAAAATGCACCTATTTTTCTCTGCCTGAGATTAGAAGGTATGCTTTTCTTTGCATTTTCTCTGATTGTGTTCATCAGAAAGGAGAAGAGGACAAGAATAAAACTGGTAATGAGCAAGAATTTGAAGAAAATATTTCCCACCAGTTCTTCTACTGCCATTACACACATGGTATTCACAATTCTCTATAGTTATGCATGGATTGTTTCAGCAGTGAAAATGCTCATATTTGGGGGGGAAATGGAATTGCTCCTGTGCAGGCATAAAACAACTTATACAGATTCAATGTATAAAATAAATAAATAAATCTCACTTCCAGTTATCTATCTTCTGTTCTAAACTATGAGTTGTTTGTAAAGTAGATGTTTGTAACTTGAGAACTGCCTGTATATGTAATTTGGTGTTGCGACTTGGGTCCCATTTCCAAAATATGTGAAATCCAGAACACTTTTGGTTACAAGGATTTCATATATGGGAAACCTGTAGCTATATTTTTAATTGGTTTTAAAGTTATGGGTAGTGTAATTATATTTCTAACCTTAACTATTCCTCAAGCTTTCAAAACTCGCAGACTTCTTCACCTGTTTGTCTGTGCCTTCAAATCGCCTATGGACACCATAAATTTCATAAGGTTTTCTCAGGCAGTACATAGTCAGAATTGGTTTTCTCGGTTCCTTCCTCTGAAATATAGCCTACAGCAGCTAGGATCCATCCTAGAAGTAGCTCTCACAAGCTGTGAGTGGGTGACTGGTGGGGAAAGGGATGCTTGGCATTTTAAAATGCTGTTAATAACCACAGAAGATCACGTTGAGTGAAAAGCACTAAAAGTCTGACTCATGATACAATACCTGGAAATGCTTTCGGTGGAAATACATGTCAAAATAGACAAATTAATAAATATTTTCATAAAGTGAGGAAGGATCCATAGGTGGCTATAATTCTAAACCTTCAGGTTAGCTTGAGAATGACATAGCCCTAAAAATGCTCCAATGAAAGGTATCCAAAAATGCCCTTTAAAACTATTTTTTAAAGTGACTTGTTATACCTATAAAATTAGGACACTAAGCTTCCTTTTAAATGTGATTAGCATCCTTATTTGCACTCCTTCCATCCAATATACTTGCTACAGGTAAATGCATTGCTCACAAGTTGCATCCAAGTTCTGGAACTCATCTCTCCTTCACCAGAGGAGCTCCATACTGAATATCAGTATCTTTATCAAACAACGAGTCTTTCTATTAATAGATGGGGCACTTCCAGACAGGGCTTAAACCCACAATGAAGCAGGTTTTAAGAAACCCACTTTGTTGTGGGTTTAAGTTCCCCAGGCATTTCCAGTAACTACCAGGAGGGCATGGTACCATCCAACCCACACCCCCCAAAAAACCCTTAAAATAAAAGGAAACTTACTGGGCAACCATTACACCTCTCCAGCAGGCCTCCTGCTACATAGAAATGATGCACCAGGAGGCAGGGGACAGGAATGATCCCTTCCCCGCCTTCTAGCATGTCATTTCTATGTGCCAGGAGGTTTGCTGGAGGGGCGTAATTGTGGCAAATTTTCTTTTAATTTTAAGGGTTTTGCAGGTGGGAGTGGGGGTGTGCCCTCTCACTTCTTCGGGTGCATGGGGTGCATGAAGCAAGCTGGGAAGTGGGGACTGTTGCGAGACTACTAATGGGTGATTCCCCACAGGCTGCAAATCCCATTAGACCTGGGCCTTTCAGGAAGTCTAATAGGGTATAAAATTAACTCGGGACAAAGCATTAATTCTCTCTTATTGGAGATGTCATTTGGTCCCTGTCTGGAAGGGCCCTGAATCTTAGCCTAATGTGTATATAATTTATTCATACACATCTATACTTAGAACTACAACCATAGAACAGTGGTTTTCTCATAGCTGTTATGGTAAATGTCATCATCATTTTATGAAGCATCAGATGTTGATATTTATGTGTTTGCATCTTTTCTTGCACAACACAAATTTATTTTGATTTATTGCAAAAAATGGCAAGCAGTAGTCACTAATGCATATATTATATTTAAGGTATATTTTGTGACAGAAATGAAGCATTCCTGACCTCAAGATCATTTATTTTAAATAGCCATATTTTTAGAGATGATCATTTAAAACAATACTTTAGCACTCACCCCTCCCGCAACTAGATGCTACAATCCAAAGAAGCTTTTAGACTAACATATGAAAACTGCATTCAAGATCTTTTCTCTGTACTTTCCTCTTAGATGAGACAAATCTTATTTAAAAAATGAACTTTGGCTTCTCTCATTATGGTGAGATGTGCACAAAAAGTACAGAGAAAAATTCAGCTGCATGATTTTTAATAGCCGGCTAGCCAAATAGCCAGATACATCGATTTTAAGAAATTATTAGCTAGCTTTTCACAAAAGCTAAATAAGACATGTCCAGAAACTATCATGAAAAGCTTCAAGATTTTAAATAATTTGAGGTTTCTGCCATTAAAATATGTTCTTCAGAAGGAAAAGAGTGTTCTTTAGAGTCATGTGTGGAAAGCAGCCCTAAGATGCTCATCACAAAATCTTCTGTAGTCTTAAGAATCTTGCAAGTACATCTTCCAATTGAATGTATAAACAAAATTAGAGGGTGCATGTGTTCTGGCATTTGTGTTTAAAAATATATCATTGAATATCAAGGTCAGGACTGTCCATTGGATATACCCAGTAGTTCTGAATTTCTATGTATGGCTGTAGGAATAGTGAATAATACCAATAGGAAGAAAATCAATTTGTTTGAAATGTGGTGAAATGTGGTGTTTGAAATGTGGTGTTTTTTCCCTAAAAGTCAAATTAATGAAATAGAGAATATCATATTTCAGATGTATCATGAGAAAACAACTTATTAGAAAAGATAATATTACTTGGTAAAGTAGGAAGCAATAGGAAAAGAGAAAGAGCTTATAAGCAGATAAACCCAATCAAGAAAGTCATGGCCACAGGTTTGCTAGACCTTATTAGAGCTGTTGATAATAGGAAAACAGGTCTTTAATTCAAAGGTTAGTCATAAGTAGTAGTCAGTTTGATGTCAGTTATCAACAATAATATATAGACGTGAAAACAATAAGTGCACTTTATAATTTGAATTTAAGCTGAAAGTATTTTATAAATTAATTTTGACAATTGTATTCCTGAGAGCCAGCATGATGTAGGGGTTTGACTGTTGTACTGTGGCCCTGGAGACCAGGGTTCAAATCTGCACTAAGCCATGGAAACCCACTGAGTGACCTTAGACAGGTCACACACTCTCAGCCTCAGATTAAGGCAAAGGCAGGCTCCCTTTAAACAAATATTGCCAAGAAAAGCCCATTATAGGTTCATCTTATGCTTGACATAAGTTGGAAATGATTTGATAGCACAAAACAACAACAACAACAACAACAACAACAACAACGCTGCCCATGCTGCTCAGGGAAGGTCACATGAATCATATTGAGCAAGAAATAGTCAAAAGAATCTGATTTTTGTATCAATCATCTACCACAGACTTCTGCAATGTTTAACTGCCATGTTTGTGATGCTTCTTACAAAACAAATTATTACATAAAAGTTTAAAGCAAAATGTTTTACTTAATCTAATTAAATTTAATTTGCCATACTAATGAGCAAAGGAAAACAAAAGAACAAAGTCACACAAGAAGCATTTAAAAATGCCACAGTGTTTTTTTTATGTTTATTTAAATGTCTGTATTTCTACTCATTACTAGAAATGATGAGAGTGAAAACTGGATCAGCTAGGAAGCATAAGTGTGTGTTCAGAGAAATCTCTGCATCCCAGCAAGTATTCTAATAATCTAGGAAATGTTTGGAAACAGGTGAGAGAGGATTCGTGTGACAGAGAAGCCACTAGGTGCAGAAAAGGGTCATATTTTCTTTTACTTTTAAAATTCTTGTTTTCAAGAACCACAATTTTCCAAAGGGGGCAATGAGAAGAAAAAAAGTACATCCGGCCCAGGCATAGAATAATCCCAGAGATTATAAAGAGTACATCAACTCCAGGCATGGTGTAATTCCATGAATGGCCCATAATATAATGGTACCATAGAATATCACAGTGAGCATCCTTTCCTGTTAAGAAAATGAGCCTTTGGTGTGTACTCTTCTGTTCCTGCACATAGAGGGGAAATAGATGTGGCAGATCCAACATTCTCCCGATCTTCCCTGATATCCATTGATGTCCATCCTGCTGCCAATACCTAATAAGTCTCAACATCTGCAGTGCATAGTTTCACAACAGAGGACATTTCCTTTCCCCACTTTCTTTTTCTTTCCCCCTGCATTTTACTCTCTATTGTCATAGAACAAAATTGCTCCTGTCTACTGCCCCTCAGATGTCTTCCCAGGAACAACAGGATGTCAGAATAATGTAGGTGAAGTAAACATAACTCTTTAAAAGTTAGCTGGGAAAATAAATCAAAATGTATTCACCATATGTGATTAAAAGGAAGAAAAGATGGAATAGACAAGGATAAGAACACTAAGAAAATAATATCTGATATGTATTTTGAAATGATGATGGATTGTGATATTATTCTACCTGTGTCTGCAATAAAACATATTTTAAAAAGGAAGAAAAGAAAACAAAGATAACAAATTTAGTGAAGTACAACTAATGTGTTCTAAATGTGAGATCCAAACAAATGCAAAGCTTCTTTTGAGAACTCAACATGACAACTCAACAGAATGAATTTTGAAGGACATATGAACATACCAAAAACAATTGATATACTAATTTCAGTATGCCCAAATTGTTCTGCATATCATTCAAATAAACGTATATGTGCACACACACACACAATGTTTCCTACAGATAGGAAACTGAACAATCAAACAGAAAATTGAAACTGAAGGTGATCCATCTGCCTGAAACATCCCCAAAGAATTCTCATAAAAAGAAAGATGCACAATAAAGAAAAGATCAACTTGATGTGTATTCATTAGTACAAGTAAGTGATGTGTAAGACACATTTGTTTTCAGAATTATTACAAACTTTAAAAAAGAACTCCAGTAGAGCCACTACTACCCTGAATCTTAATAAAGTAGAGCACAATGGCACAGAAAATTGTACTTGCCGCCCCCTCCCCCATAGTACCGTGAACAGAGCCAGGCAATGAAATATACCTGGCTATATACAGCCAACCTCAGGTGGGTGCCTATGTGCCTATTTCTTTCCCAATTGCCCTGGCACTGGAGATATATATGATGTTAGTTAGGTAAGTGTTGCTGCTGTCATTTCTTTCCCTCCTGTCCTCTAAGTGAGAATGTAAAGGTGCTTCCCTTTCTTCCTCTCTTGCACTGACAAGGCGATTGGATAGTTTCCATCACCAGTTCATCTTTCTAAGGTTAGTGATGGGCCTCTTCTTGCACTAGGGCATGGAGAGGGAGTTGTCACATGGGTCACCAGAATCACTACGTGTTGTGGCAAATCTGGTGACCATCACTGGGGGGAAGTGAGATTCTCCCAAACTTTATCAAATTAGAAATTGCCACTCTTTGACACTTCTAGCAGTGATGATTTGCACTTTCAGACCAAAGAAAATGTATATGGACAAAATCTGGCCACATTAGCCCCTCAGCTAGGATACGTGATGATGAATATCTTTGGAGTCTGCTATTTGGGGTAAATGTATGGTATAGCAAAAGTCATAATTCCTGAGCAGCAGTCCTAGTCATTAATATTAGTAGAAAATAGAACTGCAAATAGGCATTCATGTATCTTTACTACAGCTTACCCTCCTTGTAACAATTGGATCAATTTCATTGGGATCTTTGTGCATAAGCATCATCAAATCAGCATTCAATGTCCGTATCCTCTGAAATCTCAGGCGGATGTAGCGAGCTGAAGTGAACTCTAAAAGGGCTGGTGAAGGGTCATCTGCACTTGGTCGTCCATTGATCAAAGATGTATGAATCTATTAAACAGGATAAAAAATGGATTTGGGTTACACAACAGTTTTCACTCTTTCCAAGCTACCAGGGCTGCAGTTTTGATTGAACAGCCATTGTTCTAACATGCAGCTGGATGCACAGTAAGAAAATAAAATGTGCAGTTGGTTTAGAGGATTCAATCAGGAAAAATTTATTACATAAAACAAATCAATGAGAAAAAAAGAGAAATAAAAAATTTAAAAAATGTCAAATACATTATAGCCTTATATTAGTATAGTATTACCAGAAGTAACTATCTGGATGCAGCCTCTATGGCCAAGGAAGAAGCACACATAAAAATAATGTCAAGCTATTTTGGATCCAGCTGTGTTGTTGCAGTCATTGCCACTAGTATCCAGCACACTTTTTACCAGGGGTTGCTGGCACCACTGTGACTTTCATCATTACTTGAATTTTGTTGAATCTGATTCAGTCCAAAATGCCATCTTATTTTGTGGTCAGTACCAATATATGTTAAAATAATATCTCAGTGAAGCTATCTCTTGTCCCATTCTATAATTCACTACATGTGGATTCAGACAATGATCCTGGCCTGGGGCCCCACCTTAAGATATGGGGGGCCCAGACATGGATCACTGCCTGAAACACATGCAGTGAATTGCAAAATGAGATGAGAGATGGTTCCCAGATCCTTAAGTAGAGTCCTAGGTCAGAATCCTTGATGGTTCCCTTACTTATCGCTAAGGTTAAGGGCAACACAATGCTCAACAAGATTTAGAATAAAATAAGTCGTTTTAAAACAGGGGTCCCCAAACGAAGGCAAAAGAAGGTCATTTACCCACCACCCACCCAAAACTTTATACTTAGGGTCACCCTATGTTTGAAATGACTTGAAGGCACGCAACAACAACTCTAATTACCTTGACTATCTCATCAACCAAAAGCAGACTCACTCTTCCCTTAGAAATACTGGTAAGTTTGCATTGGTTAAAATTGTTCCTTATTGTATTATTATTTAAATTTTTGCACTACTAATATATGTGCAGTGTGCATGGGACAACAGTCTCAGAGACTGCTTAAAAAGTTTGAGGGTCCTGGTTTAAAATGATGACACAAAAGTGGAGCCTGGCAATGAAATGTATTTCCAAAAGAAACTGCTAAACAGTTGTGACACAGCCTAAATAATTGTGAGCCCAATTGAGAGTGCATTTTGCCTTGTCTACCAATACAAGCATGTGCCAACAAAAGTCAAAGAAACTGCCCACCCAGTAATCACTTTCTGTTGCATGCCACATTTTTAATTGTATTAAAAGTATGAATTGTGATAAATCACAAAGACTGGCATGATGACAGGATAATATAATGACTAATAAAACAATTAGCTTCAATTGGATAGACAAAGCAAAAGTCAGTATTTTATAAAGACTTCTGTTTATCTCAGCTGGCTGACTGCCCGGTTGCCCCTCCTCCTAACCCTGGGCCTCCAACCTAGAGCCCTATCAGTCCCCCCTCACCTTGTGGGGCCATATCAGGTAGATTTTGGAGAAGCATCTTTTTGGTCCCAGCCTTCTGGGTTCTTGTGCAGTAAGGGGAAAATAGTTATAGCAAATTGTATCAGTCCAAGCAGGAAAAAAATTAGAAGACTGCCTCCTTCTTTCACACATGTTTCTATTTCTTACTCCTTCCATAATATAGAAATTCTGCTCAATCACTTTGTAAAATACATTGCTATAGATTATCATAAATCTGAAATAGGACAGCCAGAGTAGTTGGTACATTCGGCGTGGCAAAGTTTCTTTGTTTTCTTCACTGGGTTATAACTTTTAAGCTCTCTGTGGATTGGATCTACACAATCTGAAAGACTGTACACTATTTCTTTCTAAAAGCTGGCTTCTAGGATTTTCAGAAGATTTTCTATTTGTCTCACCACCATCAAAGATGTGTTTGGTGAGTACAAAGGAAATACCCTTCTTGGTGACTGCTCTGAGTTGTGGAATTCCCTCCCATGGAAACACTCAGTTGGCCCACTCTCTGCTTTCTCATTGGCAGGGGAAAACTTTGTTTAAGCAAGCCATTGGCTTGTACCATTGTTGGAGAAGAATCTCTTAATGCTGTGTGCATCTTTTGGCTATGTTTTAATGTGTTTAAAACGTTGCTATTTGTTTTTTTAACAGAATTGGATATATGTGTATCAAATAGCTTCTACGTATTAGGCATGGTTAGGTCCAGTCGGAACTCTCAGAATTCAGAATTAATTCAGATTAAATACCTTTTTGAAGTGATTTCAATTTTTTTAAAAACCAGAAGTATCCTTGCCCTTCAGAAGGCAGTGTTGCCATTTGTATTCTGACTCAGGAAGTGAGTCAGAAATGACTCAGTATTTGGATTCTTGCCTCCAGCCAATGAAGGGAAACCATGTGGGGAGGGGTGGAGTTTTCGCATGGCAACCATTGCATTATGAAAAGTGCTGTGCATGCCTCAGGGGCTCATTGCAAGCCAGGGAAGCGAACGCAAAGGGAGCTTGGGTGGGAAGGGTGTTTGGTAAGGGAACAACAGGGCAAGGGGAGAATGGCTGGTAGCAGGCCCGTTGCCTGCAAGCCTTGCAGACTTTTTGCTTGTGTGTTGCAGCTGACTGTTGGGGAGGAAGAAGGGCAGGGCAGCAGACAACATCGCAGGGACAAGTGTTCTCTTGCCTGCCAGTGCCTATTTCTCTTTCAGTAGCTGTGAAATCTACTTTTAAAACCCCTCATTCCCATTTTGCTTTGAGGTTATACTGAGGTATACCAAAAATCCCTTTTTTTCCAAGTACTTCCCTTGCAGAAGCAGTGAATTAAACTTTCAAGACCCCTCATTCCCATTTTGCTCTGAGTTTGTACTGAGTTATACTACAAATCCCATATTCTCCAACCTTATTACTTATTGCAGAGGAGGATGTTTTCTACCACAGTGGCAAGTTTTGTTAATAGTGATCTAAAAATGAGGGAGAGGGAATCCTCAGAAGTTTGACCTGTTCCGTTTGCAGTTTTTCATGTATTGCACAATTGCGCCTGCCATTAACAAAGCGGTTGGGAAATTTTGGAAAATTCTAACTTTTTCGGAAAAATTCAGAATTCAATTCCGAAATGACTGGTCAGTGCCCCCTACATCTGAAACGAGTTTTGAACCATTTTTTCCTTGCTCAAACAAGCCTACTAGCTATACTTTGTTTTTAGTTTAATGGTGTGTCAACTTGGGTCTCATGCTGGGGGAAAGGCAGGAAATAGTAGATAGATAATTATACCTACATTTTAAGAATGACTGTGTATATAAATAAATGTAAGTACATTTTATGTTAGTGGTGTCCAATAATAATTTTAACACCCACTCTTCACCATATTTATGATAAAGTTCTTGGTGATGCCTATCTCTATGCTATTCCAAAAAAGAGTTCACTTTGGGATAGTTTGGCCATTAATCAACAGCATAGTTTGTACTATTGTGATCCCATCTAAAAGCAAGGCACAGGACAATCTGTGATTGTATCTCTTTCTATTTCTGTTTTTAAACTAAAACTCATTCCAGCAAGCCACAAACTAGATTAGAGCAGCAGTGCTACAGAAAGAAGCACTTTTTCTGCATTGTTTTTTGGATTAATGAATGTTTGCCAAAGCTGTTATTAGCACTGTGATAGGAAAAGAAAAACAAGAATGGCCTCAGATTGTCGAAGGCATTTATTTATTTATTTATTTATTTATTTATAATTCAAACTTATATGCCACCACTCCCCTGGGGCTCGGAGCGGCTTACAAGAACAGGCTAAAATCTAACACAATTTAAAAACCAATTTAAAACAATTTAAAAACAATTTAAAACAACAATGTCAGAAATCAAAGGCCTGCCGAAACAGATATGTCTTACATGCCCTGTGGAAAGCTGATAGGTCCCACAAGGCACTGACTTCAGGTGGCAGAGTATTCCAGAGTGATGGTGCCACTGCTGTAAAGGTTCTGTGTCTGGTTGCTGTTAGATGCAAGGTCTTGACACTGAGAATTTCCAATAGATCTTGGTCCTCAGAATGGAGGGATCTCTGGGGTTGGTAGGGGTGAGGCGGTCCCTCAGGTACATCGGCCCCAGACCATGCAAGGCCTTAAAGGTGAGTACCATCACTTTGAAAGTGATCCGGTGCTCAATTGGTAACCAATGCAGCTGTAGTAAGATTGGTGTTATGTGGCATCTCATCGGAATTCCCGCAAGAAGCCGAGCAGCTGCATTTTGTACCAACTTAAGCTTCCGGATCACTGACAGAGGAAGGCCAATGTAGAGGGCGTTACAGTAGTCCAGTCTTGAGATGACCGTAGCCTGGATCACCGTAGCTAGGTCGTCCCTGGACAGATAGGGGGCCAGCCATCTTGCCTGCCGCAGATGAAAAAAGGCGGTTCTGCTAACGGCGGAGACCTGGGCCTCCATTGTCAGCAGAGAGTCCAAAAGGACTCCCAGACTCTTTACCAATGATGACAGCCGTAGCGCCTCGCCATCCAGGGTAGGCAGCTGGATATCCCCCCAGTTGACCCAGCCATAGGATCTCCGTCTTTGCTGGATTCACCCTCAACCTGCTGGCATACAGCCATCCAGTAACGGCCTTGAGGCACTGATGGAAACAATTGGGTACAGAGTCCGGTCAGCCTTTTATGGCTGGAATCACTGGGTTGATGTGTGTTTTCCGGGCTGTATGGCCATGATGTTCCAGAAGAATTGACCTTCCTTCCTAATTTGGCAAGCAAAGGTTACAAGGTGGATGCGAGTGTGTGTCAATTGTGCTATAGTAAGGAGTAAAAGGGTTAAACCACCCCACGTGCTATCCCAGTCTGCTTCCTTCTAGTATAAACACCATAAACATGGTCTCTTTCATATCCAATCAAGAAATTCTATCACAACTTGTTTTCCTTGGTATTGGGATTCTGTTGTTTTTCTTCTTCACATAAATACATGAACCACTTCCTTTGGGCTTATGTTAAAGTTTCTGGATATATTAGAATACACAAGA